TATGTGTCTAGAAATTTCTTCAATCCAGTGCTAGACATTAAATTTTGTCATCCAGACAGCTTGGGGTGGCTGGCCCTTTGCCATTCTGGGTCCTTTTACTTTCTATTGGTTGAGCTTTGCAATCTCAATTTATGCTCATATTCTCTTTCTTTCTAGTCTCTCCTCTCTCTCCTTTTCTTCTTTCTCAAATTTTGTTCTTATTCTCTCTATTTGCAGTCTCTCCTTTTCTTTCTCAAATTGTGTTCTTATTCTATCTTTATTTCCTGTTCCTCTTTTAGTTTTTTTTTCTCACTTCTCTGTCTCCTCCTCCTCTCTTTTCAGTTGCTGCTCTTTCTAGTTCTTGCTGTTATTTAACAAACTCTCATCGTTTGCCATCTTTGAGCCCAAAATGCTCACCTTTTTCGATCCATTTATCAAAGTCTGTTAACATGGTTAAATAGCGTGATTGTAAATTTCTATATTTTCTCCACTACATCTGTGCCTATATCATCCTACTTATTTCCACTGTCAAAAAAATAATGTTAATTTAGAAACAACAGTTTATAGAAATTCTTTTGATGTTTTTTTTTATATATCATGATTCTTGGTGCAGCAGTATGACAACATGAAAAGATTTTTTATAAACTTATGTTGAATTAGATTTCTGTATTAAACTTGTGTTTACAGAGCATTGAAAATATGTTCTAGGGAGGAATATTTAAGAAGTGAATTGCTACAACTTTTTGGATAAAAGAGAGTTTACACTAAATATAGTAGGTAGAACATTTAATAAATTTATTAATGGCTTATTATTAGCTTGAAAGAAATACTATCTTAAAATCTGTTTACAAATTCACTCAAAAAGAAACTAGGTTTACTATATATATTTCAGGATTAACTGATCAGTTATTTATGTTTTTAATACACACACACACACACACACACACACAAAACAACTTTTATCCCATCTTTAAAGTTATGAATAAGATTAAAGAAATATTGGGTATACTAAAGATGAAATAGAGTTAAAAGATAAAACTGGGATTTATAAAATAAAATGTGAATGTGGTACACTAGTGTTTACATTGGTCAAATTGAAAAGAACTAAAGTACACATTACAGGAACATAAAGGGTACAGAAGAAACAATAAAATAGAAAACAGAATAACCTGATTGGCTGCTAACTGGCATAAAAAAATAACATTTTAGTGAGCACCAAAAACAGCTAAAGTTTCTCTTTTTTTATTTAACATAGAAAAGGTTAGGGAATGTTTTTTTAATTTTAATAGTCATGAAAATTGATCTGATATATATTGTGAACCATGATGTCTGTCTGAACATTTATCTGTCTCCTGTTTGAAAAGCTGTGCATGCAGGCAAAGCTCAACATTCACTTTTGAAGTTATGGGAGAACAGGCATGAATCTTCTATGGTCTATGACAGTTATTTTGGTGTAAAGTTAATAGTTTAGAGAAAAACTATTAATCACCAAGGGTGTTCGAAGATTAGCGACCCTCCTTCACTCTCCTTCGAGGTTAAAGATTAGAAGTTCAATGAAACAGACATGAATAATGTTGATGCCAACTTTTACTTCGCAAGCAAGATATTCTACACTAAATTCTTAGGAATTAATCACACTATCGTTCACATTTAAAAATGTGATGTAACTTAAAGAATATACATGTAGATTTACAGTATGTTATTGTTGAGTGGTTCTTAGCATGACTAAAGTGCTCAACAATTACTTTTTATGGTGGGCAATATAAATTGCTCAGAGCTTTGGCTCTGAGAGGAAACAAGAGTGCAACACAGTTAACATTTCTAAAGTCTATGAAATAATTTAAATGATACTTTTCCCATCACTAGTGATGGGTACTTTTGCAAGCTTAACTTCAACTTTTCTTGTCACTGGGGATGGGTAATTATGCTTGTATGTTCATAAATTATAGCATGTTGTGTTATGAGAGATGTTATGTATACTTTTTAAAATATGTTTTTACAAAAGTATAATATATGGATGCTTCTACCTAAAAAACATAGTTGTACTTCACAGTTTACGAGATCTTAGAGGGCCACATCTAATGGTATACTGTATTTAGTTAGAGAGATAAGAAAGGTGGAGTGAAACAGCCACCTAAACTTTGAATGATGTTTCTACCAATTATGATGAATTTTGTGAAAAAGGAAAATGGTTTGAAATAAACAGTTGTTTATTGTAAATGTCATTTCTAGTTAAAACAAAGATTGAACGTAGACCCTTTTTTTTGGATATCACAAAATGCACTTTTTATGGTTGAGCCATTTTATCTCTAATGTTGGTAAAATGGCTGCCATCTAACTCATAACAGCTGCAATTTAAAATAAATGCTGCATTTAACAAATGCATGTAAGTAAATCATCAGGAAGGATGTGTGTCATGCTTGTCATCTATGACAATAGCTCATAAGAATGTCTTACCCCCAGCCATTCATTGTAAAATAATCACAAGTTATAAAGCATTAGTGAACATGAACTGTGTTTCTCTTATGACCTATTTGTAATTCCTCATTTTGAAACCAAAGAAATGAAATTCTCTGAAATATCTACTTTGTAATTCTAAAAACATAAAAGTGCTTACCTTAGATCAAAGTTCTTCCAAAACCAAAAGTTGAAATCCTGGTTTAATCATTCACATTCACATCTGGCTGCCAGTGTGTTTATGCACAGAATTGCAGGAACAGTACTAACATATAATTCACTCTGTGGCAGCACATTATAATGTAGCCATTTTACCAAAGGGAACATCTTACCTCACTCTCTCTATCGTTAAAGAAATTCACATAAACGTTTTTCAAAATATATGTTAATATATTACCAAACCAATGTGACACATCACTATGAGAAAGGGGTGTTATAGCTCACTTGTGAGTTTTCATTTTTATAGGGAATACACACATTTCATATTAATCATAGCCTTGACTTAGAAACATTTATAACAATTATTGATACATATTGAGGACTTTCCTCCCTCAAGGGGGGGTGGGGGTGGTCATCACTTCCCAGTTAATTGTAATAGATGTGCAACATAGTGTCACAGTGTACATATTTTATGGCAACAATGAGAGAAAAGACATGTAGAGATGTATTCTTTGATAATATTATTCTAAGGACTTACAAGTGAAAGTAAAGAAAAATGTTATAATTTGTCAAACATGCTATACCTCAGTATTTAATGCCAATCACTATTTAATGACCCTCCACCTTAACCATATACAAGATTACATTTTATTATTTTTTTGCTTTCACTCCTGGGGTTCTTAGAATTACAAATATAGTTTCCTCCCTTTAATACTTGCTGGTTTCACTTCTTCCGAATGATAGCAAAGTTGATTCAAGATATAACAACAATGGAATAAGTAAGTGATGTTAAAAATAAATAAATAATAATGTGTAATTAATCTTTACCCTAATTCAAATTTGTAAATGGCTGAAATAATATTGTTATTAATTACACTTTACTTACTTAAAATAGTTCACACCATAACAGATGTTCATGCAATTGATGACATAAATAGTGCCTATACTACTACTTTGTGTGAGATCCCACCTGGCCTGATGAGCCTTGCTATTGGGCGAAAGTTCTCATTCATACTGGACATGACAGAAATTGTTTGACTGAAATGTTCTTTGGTTCCACTCATAAGTTCTTAGAATTGCAGGTTTCCTATATATTAGATTGTACTGACAATTATAAGTTGTATTGTAATGTATTTTGTAAATAGAATTGCTTATCATTATTCACTCATGACTTTTAAAGTTTACTGGTTTCGTGGCACTTGGTTGTTACCTGTTGGCAATAACTCAAGCTTCTTGATATAACAGAAACTTGCTCAATTCTGTATGTCATTACATTATAGCACTTGCAATTTGATATTAAGTGCACTGATCAGAATATTGTGTTCACACACTGAAACTGACAACTGCGCAAAAGATTGTCAAAGGCCATTTTATGTGTAATTTTTTTTTAAATGCTTCTTGATTATATACAATATATGACCTCTCTTTTTTTATATTCAAATTCTATAAATGATAAATGAATTTCTCACTGCCGAGCAGTTTTATTCTAATGGAAGCCAGTTGGTTTTAATTGATGCTGGTTAGTAAATGTTTGAGCCAAACAACACTACCAACCATATTTGGTTAGGAAAAGCCCTGATATGTGGTGAAATAGACTGCCACTCCTCTTCCAAGGCATTTACAGGTGTAAAAATACTTTGGGTTTTGTCCTTTATGTTATTCATGAGACATTCTAAAATGTTCCATAACAACTTAGTTTGATACAGATTGAGCTCTCTGTTGACTAAGGCTGATTATGAATATGAGATGTGGTTGGTATAGCATGGTGTGTTATCATAGTGAATGAGATAGTCATTTGCCGTTGATTTCTATGTTTACGGGTATTGCAACATTATTGAGAATGTCCTAATATGATGAGATACTGTGGGTTTTCACAATTCTTACCAGTTAGACCAAGTTCAAACTTGAACAGGCTGAAATTATTATACTGCTCTTAAACCTTCTTGTTAGAAATGAGATAGTCATATCCAAAGATGTAAGTTGTTTTAGAGAGTTCTCACAGGATGATAAATGATTAACTTTGGTTAGTGGGGCTGAAATTTGACATGAGCACATGCAGTAGCTTTTCATAACCATAGTTGTTTTCAGATAAATGTCACTAATTTAGCATTCAGTAACTGTTTCTCATTGAAGGCCTGTAAGCTCCTCTTGTGGCATATTGATTATATGGTTGTCTTTAGTAGTTTCTGAAATTTTATAAGCTCTGTATCAAGATATTGTGAACTTCACACACAACTTCACTATTATTTGGGATCATGCTGTTCCAGTAAAAATAATATGGTGTATTCATGAATGTAGATTTAATAATTTAAATCTTATGTTTGATACCCCGAAGTTAAGTATTTTTTTTCTATTTCAAAATAAATGTATTCTGTTGATATTTTTATTTATTTATTTAATTGCAGTTTTTCAACCTCAACCTCCATCAGTTTGGTCCATACAGAATTAATTACACACAAAATGGCAGGTAAGATAAGTTGTGCTAATTTTTTTATTGTAAGCTAATAGCAAAAGGCACTGCATATACTGCTAAAGAACCATTTTAATAATGTAACAAACCAGACAGTAAGTGTCCATGTCATTCATTGTATTGAAATACATCTGTGCTTTATGTAAATTTTTATCTTAATATACAGTTTGTGTTATAAAGATTTATTAATTTATGTTAGAAATAAAAGGTAGAAAGTTCTATATGTAACAGAAGAGGTTAGATAAAAAAACAACATAATTATGCTTGTTGTAGAAGTTTATGATTATTGGTATGAATTTATTTGTAGTTTAGTACAGATTTAACTGTTACACTAGAAAATATTGTGAAACATTTGGAAATTAATATTATGCTGAGCTTTTAACTTTGAAACACTGAATAGTTCCACCTTTCATTGGTTTTTCACATGTAGTATCTGAAGTTTTAACCACTTATTACAAATTTAATGTGTTCGAAATTGTATAAATGACTTTCCTCCAAAATTTACTGATCTTTATTGTAGTGAGACAGTAATGTTAGTTATATGTGTTGTTTCAATAAGGTATGTCAGCATAGTAATTTTGGTCATAATTTACATGTGAATCTCTTGGAGAAGTTCCTAAACCAAATTGGAATGGGTATGTTACAAATTTTAATTATATTTTGTTAAGGTTTTTACTGTTAGGAGGCCACATGGGACATGTTGCAGCCTTAGACTGGGTGACCAAGAGCTTAATGTGTGAGATCAATGTGATGGAATCAGTTCATGATATCAAATGGTTACATATTCCTACAATGTTTGCAGTTTCTCAAAAAAATTGGGTTTACATATATGACAACCAGGGCATTGAACTTCACTGTATTAAGAAACTTTATCGTGTTCAAAAAATGGAGTTCTTACGATATCATTTCCTATTAGCTTGTGCTGTAAGTAAATATTTTCTTAATTTTCTATAGATATTTGATAAAATAACAAAACATTAGCAACACTAAATTATAAATTTTCTCTTAAAATAATATGCAATCATAATTTCTGTACTGTCATATTGATAAACGATTTTTCTTTGCTAATTGTAAGAAGTGCAATGTATTGTGGACAACTTCAGTTTGAGTATTTGTCAAATTTATATTTGTACCTACCATATAAAGTCTAAGGCACTGTAATAACACTATTATTTTGCAAAATATTAAGCTATGTCATACAAATTCTTTTTTTCTTCCTTGAAAACTTTTTTAAGGGTTTTATTTTTAAACCTGATGCTTGCATCAAATGCAAGTGAATGTAACAGGGATGAAATTAAAAATAATGAGACAAATGATCATATATGTAAACAATCACATCAACAGTCACTTAGGTTACATAACAAAAACAAGTAAAAATATTAGAAAGGAATCTTCTTAAATGTAATACAAGAAAATGAGCTATAAAGTATTTAAAAAGATAATTTTAATATGTATATGTAAGTATAAGTATGTACTTACACTAGAATAATTAATCAGCGTTTGCAATATTACAGTATTAGGCCAGTAGGTCTGTTCTTGTGTACATTGATGTTATAGAAAGATGCTAACAACATGTACACCCACAGTCATTATCTTGAATACTAAACTATACAACACATCAAAACTCAGTTATTCAGGGATGTAAGAGTTTTGTTGGTAGATAGAATTAAGAAAAATGTATTATTATTACAATAGATTAAAAATTGCAAAAATGTGTTTGAGAAAACAAGTAATAATATGTATGATACCATTTTGGTTAAATACATTAAAATGGATGAGCCAGAGACTGACAAAATTGCTTGCAGCAGTAGGACTTTTTAGTTTTTTTATAAAAATGATTTCACTCGGAGTAGAAATGGACCACCCAAACAATTCAGTGGTCCGTGTTTTCTTAATATTTATCAAACAACTACATTTTTGTAGTGATAGAAATAATTTATTACTTGTTCCAACAATCTTTATCTCGGTTTATTTATGAATAAGTAAACTCTTATTTGGAGTCTTTGTTCATCATTGGCCCTTGCTAAGACCTTAAACCAGTTGAAACAAATAATGACATCACATTCTCTTAAGGCATGTTCAAGTATCTTTGACTTAATGAGGATCTTAGGTTAGCATATTCTTTAATCTATGTTAACAGTTTTTGTGTAGTAATACCACTGTAGGCTTGCTCATAGTAAGGGTAAGTAAATTTATCATGAACCAGGATAGTGGTTCATAATATGGATTGCAAGGAATTGTACAAAACCTCAATAGAATGTTTGGGCAAAAAACACCTAAAACAATAAAGATTCATTTAAAAAACACTTTAAAACCTTTACTATTGATTGCTAAGACTATCCATGTAAAAATGCACAAAAAAAGCACTCATTTTCGTCTTGCGAGGAAAAGAAAATTCATTCAAAAGCTCATTTGTTATTATTATTCTTTTGCCAACCTACAACAAAAGTGGCTTGATATATTGCACCCAAATCTTTTTTAGAATACTAAATAAGGTACTGCAAAGGTCACAGTGATATTGAAAAGTTGATTGTTTCTTTTATAGTTTACTGAAGCTAAAAAACATCATAATTCTAGTGTAAATGATATTATCATTACTCCTTGAGTTAGCTTTCTTACAGATACCTGGTGTTCCTTTAAAAAGCTTAAGTACAGGGTGAAACAGGAGTTACCAGCCAATAATTTTGACTCCACCAAATCTAATTCTAGGTAACAGTATGGAGCCAAAATAGGGTTTTTAGTTCAAGTAAATAATGTCTACAGTATCTCCATCCTTGTTTGCTTACTTTTGTATGAGCCCTACTTACAGGTTTTTAAATTCCCTATTTTTTATTTATCTTGGAAGCTATGTATGATGATTGTAAAGTTGTAATCTGATCCTTAAATCAAAAGATAAACCATATGCAACAATTAGGTTTAACCCTATCGAGACGGGTAGGGGTCAGAGGACATGGCATCATGTTTGTAGATTTACATTCAACATTTTATTTAGTTATTATTATATAAACGTATGTCACTAAGTTTGGTATTAAATTGTAGATTATAATTCAAATTTTAGTGTTATACATTAGTTAGTTTCTTAATTTGAAACTAAATATTAAAAAAATGCTAAATATCGAATTTTGTGTGTCACACAGTACATGGTCTTTTGGGTTGAGTCAGATTACATTTTATGATGCCCACAATATAATGTCTGTAGTTTTGTATAAATAAGAAACTCAAATGTTTGACATTGGCAAGTTAGAATATAAAGTAAGAACCTCCCACCTTTTCTATTTGCTAAGATACCTTGATATTTAGCAAACCCACCATATTGGCTCTGCCCACCACTTTATTGAAAAAATCTTATTTCTCTATGCCCACCTTTATATACCAATAACTTTACAATCAATCAAAAGCTATTTATTTATTCTATATAATTCTCTCAGTTTTCTTATGTTATTTACAAGAGAAATGCTCTTATATCATTGGAAAGTGTGAAGTATTGCTATCAAGGCTTTTTTTTTTTAACAGAAATTATATTTTTTTTAGACCCAAATACAATTTTGTTTAGAAAGCCTGATAAATTACAGTGGCTTTTTGGGGTATTGGTATCGTAATTTATAATTTTTTGTATTCCAAAATGCTTATATAAAATATACAAAAATTATTTTTCCATCTTCACATGTGAATTTGGATGAGGCTTAGGAAGTATGGGTCACGAGTGCAAACAAAGACTTCGTGGCATCGTAAGTAGTAGAGATCATTGTTTTCCATATTTTCTATTTACCGTTTTATGTCTGAAAAAAATAATTGACATTTCAGTATTTATTTGAAAACACTAGCTATATGTAATGTATGGTAGCCAATATGTTACTGTATTTTACAAAGTAAGAACTTGTTATTTTTTCTACTCATTTATATTGAGATAGAATAAAAACAAATTATACAAAACTAAAGATTTGGCAATTCAGGATAAGTTTATTTATGTAATTTGTGAAAGTCTAAGAAATAAATTTATTACTGATCAACTGATCTTAACAAATGAAAGGGAACATCTTTACATAAACACCCTGTTGAACTTGCAGTTTGGTGGTGAATAATCTATTTCTCAAGTTACAATCAAGAAGGCTAAGCCAAGAATACTAGCCCAACCAAAACAAGCCCTATTTATATTACTGGAAACTACACATTTATTGGTTACTGTGTAAGCATGGTAATATAGGAAACAGGATGTCCTTAAGCATTTACACACATTTTAACCTATACCAACGCTAAATTCTGACTGCCAAGTAAGATAACTAGCAAGTTTATTGGATAGGATACAACTTTATACTTAGTACAGAGACATATCATAAATATTTTCTCTCACTTTTCTAAAGCACTTTATACAATTCTTGTTGCAACCACTGTATTGTAAAGAAGCCAGCAAATTCTATCCCATTGTGTTCTCAGAGCAGCGATCCGAATAGTTTCTGTAGGATATATCTGCTTTTTGACTTACTGTATCAGCCCAGACTTTCTACAAAGTTATAAACATTTTATAATACTTTAGACAATTGTCGTTGTAACCATTATACTGTCAACAAATTGATATATCCTATCCCACTGTGTTTTCAAAGCAGGGAAAATTCTGGGAATTGTGCCACATGAACTTATTTGATATTGACAGTGTCAAAGTACAGTAACACCTAAACTGGAGCAGTGATTCATTGCTTTATATTCAGCTTGTTTCTACTTCAGCAGCTAACAGTAGAATAACAATAAGAAATAGGTGTAAAAAGCTTAGAAAAACTCTCAGGAGATTTACTTGGAACTTAATTGTCCGTATGAAAAACAAAGTACTATTCATTTTGTTTCTTCTAATTTCTAACTCAATTACTAGCAATGAAATAACTACTACAGGAAATAAGTGTGAAAAGGTGAGTGTAAACTCTGACCTTAAGTACTTTGAAATTTTGTAATCACTACTAACAATACTAGACATTTTTTTTGTAACCGTTATTTTCATTATGATTTGAATACCAGCCTAAAGCCTGGAGAAATAAGTATAATGTTACAGTACAAAAAATAAGTAAAATATAATGCTTTACTGAAAATAAAAATGCTTTATATTTAATTACAAGGTTTTTTATTTTTCATTTGTTTTCAATGTTTATTATTATAAAAGTAAGTAAAATCATAAAAATAGAAAGTTGTTAGGTGAGATAATTTAATAAAAATAATAAAAACCTTTGTGAGGTATACACACCAGAAGCTGTTGCATTACACATTTCGATAGGCTCATGTCAATGCACGTGCACCGTGTAGTTTTCAGCTTCTGTTGGGGTATTTTTAGTCAGACACAGTTCAAAGTTCAATAAAACAAAAATTAATAAATATAAACAGATGTAAGCTATTTAGAATAAACATTTGTGGTTTCCTATTACAATTTGCAGTTATTCTAGGACAAAAAAGTAATTTAGATTTATTTCCTAACTTTTATGATTGTTTCGAGGTCGGTCAAATCTATCAACACCATATAGAGTTAATATTGATAAAATAACAGATTAAATATAAAGTTTTATTTAAAAAAACGTTTGGTGACCATATAGAAGGATATAGAGATTATGCAAATGAAACGTGACAAATTTCAAATAAAGACAAGTATTTTTAATCTTAAAATCAAAATTACTTTTTATGCATTGGATAGTCAACATTCTGAAAGAAAAAATTCACGGGTAATCTTTAATGAAAAAAATCTTAAAATGTAATTCAAAAACCAGATATTTTGTGTATGAAATCCTTGTAATGTTTATTAATAATCTGCAAAATTTTGTACAGAATTGTGTACATTTTCAAAATTATATTACAATTACTCTCATAGATACTTTCCTGGTTTTGGGGTGGGTGGATTCTACCCAGCCCTTAATAGAAGGGTTGAACAAGCATCTTAACTATATCTATGGATACACCCTTCAAGTGACATTTTTAACTTGATTCTTATTGACTAAAAAATATTTACCCATGTAAGTTAAACTGATGATATTTTGGCATTTCTGTTTTACACAGTATACTATATAGTTCAGTTTTGAGTTTACTTAATGGTCATAAGTATTATTTTATTACAAGTTTCAGCTTTTACAGTAAGAAGAACATTTTTAAAACAGCTATGATTTTTCAACCACTAATGTGATCATTCTCTAGAAACAGTGAATACTCGTTTATACATTCTTGCCAGTCTCTTTTTTTCACATTTACAGGCTGGAAAATTCCAGCTGCCTATAGGATTTGTTTATTTATACTCATGAATACATATCTGAAGGACAATTGGATAATGCTTGCTCACATTAGTTGCATTTCTCCACCTTTATTTCTAGCTGAACAATGAATGACATCATACTGAACCCACACTTTGCTTTCTCAATTTGTGATTGTTTATATCTTGAGTTCTTACTTACAAGAACCATTTCTTGCATTGTGTATTGGTACCTACTGAGACTAAGGTCAAGTACAATTTTAATAAAAACAACCTTTGGCCTTGCTGAAATGGAACAACTAATCACTGCTTGTTGATGGGTGAAAATTCAAAAATCCACTTGTATGTGTGTACATTGTTCAACTAATTTTAATTCTTATAAAGAGGCTAAGCATAACATTGAAGCAAATGATAGGCTTGTCCAAATAAATTTTTCTTCGTATTAAGGGTAAAGGTGTAGCCTCCCTAAAATGCCTCCAAAACCTTCAGAAAATTTTAATGTTTGGAGCTTCTAAATTTTCTATTTAATAAAAACACTTGCATACTATTATAAAATGTTATGCATTAAAATATTTAAATATAATTATTCACAATATCAAAACTGGTAAATTTAATGACTTACTAAAAAAGTCTTTGTTTTTCCACCAATTATTGGAGAACATAAGATGCACATACACACAGCCCCTTTAATTTTAATAGTGAATTTTTTTTTATCTTATACCCATATAAAGTTCATAAACAAATAAATGTTAATTAAGCATAACTAAAATGTGACTAAAATTTAAAATTACACAAATTGCATTGTATAACATAAAATTGAAGTTTTCCCTTTTTTATTTTTTGTACACATTCTAAAACCTGTTTTGTGCATAATATGACAGTGTAGAGTATATGTTTTGAAAACAGTCATATACTAGCTCTGGTGTAGCTTTAAAGTTTTTAATCTATATATTTATTTATGGCTGCAAATGTAGTTTTCATTAAGTAATAAAATATTTCTGGAAAATGTCACAAGTGAATGTTAAGCTGTCTTATTGCCTAGCAACAAGTTAAAATGACTTAGTAAATTTTTATATATAGCAGCTTACTTAGTCCTATGGGGTCAGAAAATTTGCAGTCATAAATGTTTAGTGATTCCAGAATGAAAAAAAGAAACAATGAGGAAGGTAAATCCAGGTGAAATTTTTATGCTCAATTTGTCATATTTTAGGCATAACTTGTATGGACTGCAGTGACAAAATAATCTAATGGTATGTTGTGAGGTAAATGAAAAATATTTTGCAACTTTTATGACAAGTGGCCATCAAAACAAGAAGTTTAACCACTGAATAAACTATACAGCTTAAAAGTAATGATTTTGCTTGGGATATAGATGATGTAATTACATACATACACTTGCACACATACATCCTGTGTTTTAGTTTTGAATACAGTAATACTGGGTTAATATCCAAGCAATACATTCTCATTATTTAATGTTTAGATTATAGAAGAAGAATTATTACAGTGAGTATAGCATTGTTCATTGACTTCTCATTCTGTTTATTGTGAAACGTTTTTAAAATGACAAACCCTCTTTAATCAGTTTCTCTCTTAACTCTTTCAGCATGGGCTCGGCCCCTGGGACCGCCCTCATAACCATTTTGACCCTGTTATAATTTTCATGCTATAACTTTTAAGTTAGTAAGTGTATGATAATGAAATTTGGCAGATTATCAATAATTTTCGTTTTAAGATTAAAAATTCTTTTGTGCATCAGAAAATTTTCAAATTTAACATGCAAAATCTTTATAATGTTTAGATAGTTATCAAATGTTTCTTTAAAAAAAAAATGTATCTGTTATTTTCAGTAATGAATCTCTGTACGGGTTCGGTAGATTTGACCGATCTTGTAACCACCATTCTAGAATGACAACAAATTATAACACGAAAACATAAATGTGTAGACTAAATAGCTTAAATCTCACAACATTATACATCATATATATTTATTATATTGACCTTTCAGCTGTGCCTGGCTAACAATACAGTAGTTACAATGACACGGCACGCATGCTCTCATGTTCCCATATCGATTATTATAAAACTAAACTTTAGTCTTTACAAAGTAACTTGTCTTGACTGTGTTTTAGTCGACTAGTATTTTGTAAAAT